CCACTCAGTTGATCAAAATAACCTGTCCAGCTATACGCTAAATTACCCGGTTTAATTTCGATCTGAATTTTGTTTGCAGCACTCGCAGAACTGTACATGCCGAGTGTTGTCATCTTAGACACATAAGGCGACACTTCAGACGTTTTATTACATACTCCTCAGATCAAAACTTTAGGAAATACCATCGAAACCTCAGAAGCCACGAGCGACTTTTTCGGGCTTCGTAGTTGCCATCGTCCAGTAATACCAAACCCACGCGTTAACATAACCTATTATTTGATCCCGGGTTCTTTGATCATTAGGCGGCAAGACGTAAAAGGCTCAATCGTTTGACCATGACGAGCATCAACAATGACGAGTATGCGCACGTCCGTCCCGCGATAGGCATTTGTTGCACAAAACCGTTGGCCCAATTAAAATAACTCTCGGCCAGCCCTAAGTTTCGGTGAAACGGCCCGCCGTTTAAACCCCTTTTCATATCTGAGCCGCACACATTTCCACTATGCACGGCAGTAACGATGACAGAAATGCTATCGACGGAGACACTCCTGCTCCCGATATTCCTACGACTGGAGGTAACGTAGCAAATATTTTATTCTGTTACTTAATGTGCCCATTCGTTTGCAGGTTCTACCTACTAACTTACTTACTTAAGGTTCCTATTAATATCCAACTTATAACCGTCCCTCCTGTAATTCCTTAGTCGCTCAAAATTTGTCTCTTTTTTGTTCCTCTCTTGGCGTTAAACCTTACGTCCGTCCTTCCCATTATTACTTTTACGTGTGTCCTCCTTACAGTTCCATTTGACGTCTACCGCGTTTTCCCTTAATAGATACGTACGTCACTCTCTTCGTTGCCACAATTACAGTTCTCCGTCTTTCCATATCGTTCTACTTTACTGTTCGCTTATCCTTCGTAAGTATTAATTGTTTCAAAAGGTCTTACTGCAGAGGACACTTACCTTTTTTCTCTTCCTAAAGGGACAACAATGGGTAAGGAAGCCAAGGCGAAGCTGGGCTTCCACGCTAATATTTAATAGGTTAACTACTATGGAAAGACGTTCACAAACCGGGGTTGAGTTTAGAGGGCTAAAGGCTGTATCAACACAGCGCATGCAAAACGGAGCAAAAATAAATGAAATCAGATATTGGGACGTACACCTGGCATTAAAAGTCTGTCGACGTCGCCGAATATCTGCTCCCAGGGCTCTGGCTTTTCGGGCGCCTCCTCTGGCAGTAGAGGTCGCAGATAGCCGGGCTCAACCTGCGGAAATACCCGATGTTTGGCTACGTCCTGTAAGTAGTCTACGGACATATGAATGGCCTTTGTGCATTGGGTTCGCATCCCGTCAAAGTACTCACTTTCAATTTCAGTACGGCCTTGGAAAAGACAAGAGGCGGAATAAGATTGTTAGAATGAAATCCGGCAAAATCAATGAAGAGGAACTCATCTGTCATAATTTTATGGACGGGCTAAGATTCTTTCCATTTTTCTGTTGATCAGTCGGAGTAAATATTTTTGAAAGCAGTTTGCTGTAGTTTAACTTATGACGTGCAAATTTTTCCCCTGTACATACGGTGGACAGACGGAACGGATACTGAGACCACGGATAAACGGGCGTTTTGACGGGATAAAGCATTGTAAAAAGTAGCAGTCCAAAGCCTAAGAACGGTTCCGGCTTAAACTTTACAGTTGGCAAGATAATCGTTCGTGTGGAAGCAACATAATCCTGACTGGGAAGAATACGACTCGATCGCTGAGACAATACTTCTATTCGCCTAACGTTTAGAGATCCGTAGCGGATTCGTTATCACAGACATAGGCAGATAGCAGCAGCAGATATGGGTCTGTGCCTGACTGTCGGAGGAGAATCCAGGCAACTGGTAGATTGATCTTCTGTCAGCATGCAGTTCCTTATGCAGTAACCTGGAGCCTGTGCCAAGCAGCGGCAGAATACAGTTGAAACACATTTCTGGGTATTTAGTTAGTATCTGTTATGCCAATAAATATAAATATCATTTTATCTTATGTCTGTCCTTTGGCAGCATGCGTATTTTACGCACGTATCCCGCAATAACTGATTGCGCTCACCAAAATGACGAACTATTTGAACTAAAAACTGTTCAGTCTGTTTAATATGACCACTGAAGCACAAGTTCACATATTCAGCACAAAAATAAGCACGATGATCGTACACATTCTTTCCAGCCGG